GAAATGCTGCTGTGGCGGGACATGTGACACCAAATTCAGTGACAGTGGACATGGTGGTGGGAATGAGAAAGCTAGGAAATTGGTATCCATCAGTTTGTCTGTGTGTAAATGTGCAAATCTGTTGGACTGAACTCACGCCCAGGATGTAAGAAGGCCTGATTGCCCTCTCGCTTACACTATTGTCAGCCAGGAGTAACTCACTGGGAGTCCAGTGTGGAACTGGCATAAGCTAGGGGTCAATGAGGCCCAAATTTGGCTTACAGTTAGTTACATCTGCATAAACCAGGGACTAATTACATTCACCTACTCCAGATTGTTGTAGGATGAGTGAGAGCTGGGTTGGCTCACAGGGAGTTAGCACTGACTTGCTTCAGGAAGAGTTTGGGTCTGATTGTGTTTTCCATGCTCACAGCATGATACACTTAGGAGCATGTGTCCCAGACAGGTAAGATACACCTGTACATCCTTCCACACCATAGATTTACAGGGCGTGTAGGAGGATGAGCCTGGTGAATGAGCATTTCCAGGAGGTCCAGTGTCCTTTCACAGAAGTTTCAGCAGTCACTTCAGTCTTTCCCTTGGCAAGTTACTCTCATGCCAATGTGGAGAAGCTGAAGAGCTTGCAGAGTAGACTAGCTGCGGTCTGGTAAGCTGCATAACCAGTTCTGGACACATGAGAGTGGACACATACATGCACACACCTTCAGTTTAACGGCAGGAAAGAAAGTGAGGAGCAGTGAATGGCTCTTCTCTTTGTAGACTTCCTTTGACCTCTGGTCTTGGAAGCCCTGGTGCTGATGTAATTTGGGACAGGCCATCATTGAGCTTGGAGCTGGCCTTCCCTTCCTTTGTTCAGTTTTACAATGGTGTAGAAGTATTAGGCATAGGCAACCCCCTTGCTCCTCCAGTAAGAAAAGGTTAAATTATCCTCACTTCATTGGCAAGGAAATGAATGATGGTGCAGTTCAGCTGTGTTACCAAGTACAAATCTGAAATGATTTCAGAGATGCCAGCGTACTTCCTGAAGGTTGATGTCCCTGTACCTGCCGATTTGCACCTCCCATATAACAAGGGGGAATCTAGACTGGGTGTCCTACCCCAGTTCAGATACAGTATCAGTATTGGAAACAAATGAGCTGGCTCTCATCCCTCCTGTTCCAAATGTAGCATGACTCTGCCTCCCATTGCTGTGCAGAGGAAGAGGGAACCTACCGCAGGCACTGCCCCTGGTCGGAACTAGAGGCATGTGGGGAAGGAGCTGGAGAAAAGGCAAAGAGAAAGCAGCAGCTTGCAAAGCTCATTTGCTTAGATATGGCATTAGAAGAGGAATTCCTCCTCTGCTTCCCTGCTGGGACCCTCAAGTCAGAGTCAAGCACCTAGCCCCACTTTGACAGAGCCCCTGCAAATCCAAATCTGGTAACGGCTTTGCAGCTCTTGCCAAACCACATGCCCTCCAAGCCCATATCTGCCCTCTCCATCCTCCCTTGTTGAACCAAGAAGGGAAAGTGATGGTGACGGCATTGCCTTGGCCTGTGATCCCATTGGGGTTCTGTTCACTTGTTTGCTGCTGTCATCTCCCTGTGCTGGCCACGTGGCCTGGGTTTTAAGTAAAATCCACAGCTGATTGCTGCAATACATGAGCTTATTCCAATCCAAATGCTCCCCTTAAAGGCAGCCTGTTCATTGGCTCTATATTTAAACTCATATAAACAGGTTTTTCCTAAACCAAGCAGACAGCTAAGGGTCCTTCTCTAAATGACTGGCCTATGCCAGCCAATCAGGGGGCAGTCTGCATCTGCTCCACAGCCGTTAATCAGCAAACAAGCAGAAAGACTCTGGCTGCAGGGGTGGTAGCGTTGATCTTTGGGGGATTCACTGTGTGTTTTACACTCAGCTGCATAAATTAGTGGATGCAGACAGCTTTCCCTTTTCATTCTGGGTTGCTGCTCTTGCCCTGCTGCTACCCACAGTGCTTTGCTCTCATGTCTCAGCTTGGTGAGAGGGGTCAGTGAACCAGAAACTTTAAGTTAATAATCACTTCTGGCTATTTTAGGGTCCCTTTTTCAGAGGGAAGAAAAAAATCTGATTCAAAGGGTAAATCACCGAAAAGTACACAAGGCTGGGGGAATGGGCAGGCTGTGTAATTCCAAGTCAGGGTCTCTTTTTGGAAGTCCTGGGATTGTTTTGTTATCAACAAGCCAACACTTAAGCTAGACATTTCTCTATACTATAGAATGGAAATGGGACCGGACACCACATAGAAAAGAGTAGGTAGATTTTCAGGTTTTTATTTGGCTCCATGTTCCACAAACATACTTGCACAGACATGTAAAAGAAAAAAGCCCACCTCTTCCAGCCTGGGCTGCTTCTCTGCTCCTCGCAATATGGAACATGACAGGGTATTTTCAATGCTATTTTTGTACATTGTGTCATAGCGTATATTTAAAATAGCATTTAAATCTGCCAAATGGTGCAGTGTTTTAAACGGCTGTCAGACCGAATTTCTCCTCCCACATACAGCATATTTCAAATACAGCTTAGAGACAGCTCTGGGAGGGTGGGGAGCCTGGTAACATCTACAGGTACCCAAAGGGCATTAACAGAGGAGAAGGAGTGAAATTACTTGTCTAGAAAGAAGCACAAAACTCTGGGTGAAATTAAGAAAGAGGGAAATATAATCTAAATATCAATACAAAAAACCATTTTGACAGGGAAACATAGAAGGCAGTAAAATCCTCTCCCGAAGGGAAAAGATAGAAGGCCCCTTGTTCAGGACATTTAAACTTAGGCTAGACAAAAGTGTGTGACAGATACAATAGGAAAGCACCTATAGAAACTCCTGGGAGATGTGACTTGATAGAAACTAATTGGCCTTGCCCTGTCTTATTTGTGACATTTACTGGGGAAGGGAATGGAGAGGAAATATGGTTGAGTTGAAAGAACTGCTGGTTGCATTGGGGCCAGGGCCTATATTGTGTCCTGTTAGAACAAGACTGCCCAAATTCCTAGGGTCACCAGTATATAGTCTGAACATGGCTTTGTTTCTTCACTGGTGGCTTTTCTAGAACATGGTATCAGTGTCATTCCTCCCAATTTATTTTTTTGTAAGATACTATACTGTTTTATAATCAAAACAAGGTGATGATTTGGACTTGAAAGCTGCCCCTGTGGTAGGCTTCTTGGCTGTGTCCGTTCCAGCGAAGAAGGTGCAGTCCTTTCTCACAAACCCTCTTGAGCTGTTGGGCCTGCGTGGAATTAATTGATACTGAGGCATAGGTGAATGGGACTGGACAATTTGAGGGGGCCTCTTAAGGGAAAATGCTTGTGAGGTATAGATCCTTTTCTTTCGTTCCTTCCTGAAATAATCATGCTCCTCGAAAAACCCAAACTTGGTGAGTTTTGCTGCCAACCTCCAGTCAAAGAGAGCTAACTGTAAGCCTACTGTGTGTCAGAGGGAAAGATCCCATTTCTTAGTCAATTAACGTACCACAGGGATAGGCTTGACTTTCAAAACATTATTGATCTCCTAAAGTGAATCTAATTCTCCTGGGTAAACACAGATAGACACCCAGCCATTCACACTTTGCTGCCATGAGAGCACTGAATTGGTGCAAAAAGGTTTGAACTGGTGAGGGGCTTCCCCTGTGCAGGTAACTTTGTTTCATTGCTTTCCTGAGAATCCCTCTGGGGTGACCCAGCTGCTTTGCTTCCTGACGTGCCCATGCATCTGCTCAGCTCTGAGCCTGCCCCTGGCACATCCTAAAGGATTTGTTCTAGTTCTGGTGAGAATTTGTAACAGGGAGGGGCCAGAAGGTGGCAGAGGGCCTGTCGATCTGTGAGGGGGAAGGAGTCCTTCCTTCCCGCACTGGCCCTGTGGTGGATCTAAGCCAAGAAGGACAAGGCTTTCTTTCTTGGACTGCTGGCATGGAGTGAGTCCTGCTGGCCTGCTATACACCCCTGTTCATTACAGCCCTAGCAATGAGACAGTGAACTGCCTCTTTGGAAGGTAACCATTTGCCAAGCTTCTGTGGACGCCTTCACGGGGGGTGGGGAAGGCTGCATTTCCTTCTCGCCACAAACAAAAGTCCCAAAAGACAATGGTTATCAAGCAGTGACAGCCCTGTGCAGGAAGCAGAAATGGACTCCCTGTAGCCTGCTTGCATCTCAGTCCTGGCTGCTGTGCAGGAAGGGGGAGGGAGGGGGAATGCGTATTTTTAAAAACTCTCTATTATCCTAAGCCTGAGTCTCTCCTAGCAACGAAACTGTAGGCCCATTCAGTTCCTTGGTCCTAGCATTTCTCTCTTCCCTTCCCCTTCCTGTTGGGGTGATGGTGTCAGCCAAAGAGGACCTGAAGCTAGGAGCTTGCTAAGGAAATTCCATAGTTCCCAAGCCCTAGAAATGGGAACTTGGACTTTGCCTGCAGTATAATGTGTATGGGGGTGTAGGTTGTAGCCATGCTGGTCTAAGGAAATAGGCAGAGTTGAACCATATTTCAGTTGGTCTAATAAAAGATACCAGGTTTACCCAAAGAACCTTGTCTGTATAATGTGTATGGTACTTAGCCACAGGCAGTAGCTTAACAGATAGGTACAACTGTCTTATCACAGCGTATTTTCACTGCTGTGGAGTCCTGGGCTTGCTTCCCCTCCATAGAGGGTTAAAAACTCTGCTTTGGGTTTGTTTGTGGTTTTTGAGTGGGGTTGGCTTCTTGGCATTTGCTTAATTTTTTTTTTTTACCCAACCTGTATCTCATCTCTTGTCAATTCTCTCCCTGCTCAGTGCATTGGAGTCCATCTGGAAGGTCTCCCCAAACTGCTTGATTTTTATGAACAAATGCAGCTTTGTGTTCTTAGCAAATGGTGGCAACCTGCTCTCCACAAATGATGAGTAAATGTGTTAAATAGCATCAGTGCCACTACAGATCCTTAGCACCGCCCAATGTCTACCTCTCTCCACTCTGAGGACTGTGGCTACTTCTCTAGTGCTCTTTTCCCCCCCCCTTTTTTGTAACCTTGATTGACTGCAAGACTTTGCCCCTTACCCCCAAGTTATTTAGTCTCCCTGGCAGCCTTACAAGAGGCTGTCCAAAACTGCTTTGTAAGAATCCTGATAAAAGATGTTCTCTTAATCACCTTTCTCTGCTGTTTCACTAGCATCTAGGGGACTTATCCAGACCATAGCGACAATGTTGCCTTTACAGGTTTTGTATTGGTAGGACCTAATCAGGTTAGACTTATCCAACTGTTGAAGTTTTAAGTCTTAAACTCTCAGGGCTAGATCCTTGGCCAGCTTAATTCAGCATAACTCCCCCAAAGAGCTACATTGGCTCAAACCAGAAGAGAACATGGTCTTCAACCAACTTGTCTTTCATATCAAATGGGTGTTCTGAGTCCTCCTCTTTAAGCTGTTCCACCTCCCACTTATGCCTAAGTCCTCTGTAATGTTGTGCAGCCTACTTAACAAAGCTTCCCGTGGTTTGGCATAACTGGACAACCAAGGTTATTCAAACTGGAAGCTACCTTGGAACCAGATTTCCTTTTGCTTTCCAAGCCCTACAACATTGTGTTGTGCATCACCTGGTATTTGTATGGTCTTCCTGGGTACTTTCTGGGTGCTCCTGCATGCCACTGAGTATTGCTTTTTATGAAAGTGGTCCAGCCATGAGCATCCTTGACTTTTTGGCACTCAAAAGTTAAATGCCAATAAGTGATCATTGAGATGTCCTTGTAACCCCATTAAATCAAATCAGGCTTAAGCCTGGCTTGAACCTGCTCTCTTCTGCCATTTTCTCCCATCAGATGCCTTATTCTTTCAGCTGCACAGCTCCTTTCTGTCATTTATCAGTGACAAAGAAGTACGTTTCACTTTCAGCACTGATTTTCAACCCCAGACATCTGCCTGAGCCTATTCTACTCTTGTGCCTGTGCTTGCGTGCATTTGTCAAGGCCTGCAAAGTATGGGGGCATGTATGCATATAACTGCATGCATCATGGAGCCTGGGTAGGGACACTACAAGCACATAGCTGTCTTCTCTCTCTTACCTGGTCTCAAATGAAGGCAGACATCAATGAGACACTCAGGAAAGACTGCATAACCAGAGGAACTGCAGTAGCAGATCTGCTCTCCACTGCAGTATTTTGTGTCTGATGGAGGCCAGTACCAGATACATCAAAGGACAAAGTGATAAAGCCTGTAAGAAGCAGTGTGAAATCCTTTTCATAATCCCTAATGGTTAGAGATGAGCTGAAACCTTGCAAGCATGAGCTTTTCTAGCCTTTCTAAAACTTTTCATTGCAACTACTGTTCTTGTCATCTATGTAAATGCCCATCTCTGGATCTTGCTATGTTCTTCGAGAAACCTGATCAAATTCCTTCAGTTCTACCCCTACAACATCCTCCTATCTAGCGAATTTAAATAACCTCCTTATGCCTCTTCCAAATAGCCTGTGAGCATTCCCAGAGCTCCTCTCCCTTCTGTGCATGCTTGTCTTCAGAAGGTAGACATGCATATACAAGTGTTTCTATACTATTCAGTAGCTGATGATTCACTCTGGTGTTCTTGCTGCTTCTACTATTGCATTCCTATAGTATCCCTGCTATGAAGCAGCCAGTTCAGTACATAGACTTCTAGATATGGCCTAGAACCATTTTTTTAATTGGCTGAAGTACTGTACTGGTCAGATCTCCTTCCCACATTTCACACAATCAGACTTAAATTGCTTGTTCTATTGTTTCTAGGTGTTGGGGGTAAATCCTGTAGGTCTCTACAAAAGACCACACACCTCTCCTCCTGTTCACTGACCACAAAACACTACAGATATTTTCCATGATGTTTTTGGTTTGGAGCCTTATTTCCTACATCTCTTCATTCGTTTGCTGGTCCCCTGCTCTGCCTAAATCAAACACAATCGCATCCCTCATCCCAGGTCAATTTCACCATGGAATTGAATTCCAGGTCACCGATACACAACGTGCATAATGATTGTCCTAACTTCGATTACTACCCCCGTGCTCCAGCCACTTCCCTGGCTGCTCTGTCTCCAGTACTTTCTCTCTGGGTAGTAATAATAAAAGCAGATATTTAGTCACAGTAATACCTAAAACCTGCAGTGGGAATTGGAGTCCATTGTGTTGGGTGCCTTGTGTGATAATACATATAGAAAGCCTTGGGAAGAAGACACATGGATACATATGTTTACCAGCTCTTGATGAGCTCAGGTACAGTGTTTGTCCTTTGTTCTGTATTTATAGAATCACAAATAAGAGGAAGTTTTTGACAAGGGACAAACACTCAGGCAGGTTTCTTTTTTCTTTAGCACCATATTCTTGTCGCCCCCTACAGAAGTGGGGTGAGGGGCTCCCCTATTCTTGTAAGACTTTCCTGCCTCTTCTCCTCTGCTGAAGTCATGCTTGAACCTCTGGAGGGCTCGTAGATCTCTGCACGATGCTATGTGCCTGGGTGTGTTTCATTAAGGGCTCTCCAGCCTGTCAGTGCCTCCCCGGTCTCCAAAGGGGTTTTGAATATATTTACCCTGGGCTCTTTGTTTCTCGGTCTCTTCCGCAGAACTCTGGAGCCTCCCGAGCTCTGGTTTCCTGTTCTAGTGAAATTCCGATTTCCTTCGGTATTTCATCCTCTCCTGGGAAATGTGTGTCTGGTTTTGATACCTCTTCCCTGTCCTCCTTTGTAAACATGGGCTGAGGAAGGAACATATTTCATTTTTAGCAATGTGCCCTTTGTGTCAATAACTCCCCCTCACCTTTTCTTGGCAGCCCTACTATCTTCCGTGCTGATCGCCTGTTTCTTTTTGTTTGTTGTGCAGTTTTCCTTTGATGAGAATACACCAAGAGAAGAGAATCACCTTCCCAGGTCTCTTCTGTACCTGGAATTTTCCATCTCTCAGAAGCTGCTTTATATACAGAGAAAGAAGTGAGCCATTCATTTGTCTTTCAACCCTTCCCCTTTTCCATCTCTTCCTGTTTATTAGTTTCTTAACCGGCTCCATCTCACCTGCACTTGCCCCTGTCCCTAGCTCTGCAGTCCAGCTTTGCCCTGCCTGGTTTCACAGAGGCTCCAGTTTTGAGATAACTGTGTGAGACCAGTGGGCTGCTCTATCCCTGGCATTGTTAGTATTTCTGAGAGAGCAACCCCTGAGGTTGCATACCCTTGCTGTCACTTGAGCTCAGATCCAGCTTCCAGCCAGATTTAACTCTGTCCATGTCTGTGGTTCCAGCGTGGACCCAGAGCTCTTGCTTCTGTTGTTTCCTACCCTGGCACATAGGAGATAGTAAACTAGATATGCCTGGATTATGCGACTGCACACCAGACCCCTACACTGCTGCCTAATTTGTCCCCAGCACCCTTGCATGCCTCATTCTTTTTTCCTGCCTGTAATGAGGGGTGTGCTCCGGGGTTTCTCACTGCAAGGCCCCTATGCTGAGGTAGAAGTGCCAGACATGTCCGAGGGTTGTCACTTTGTTTAGTAGGCTGTATGACCCACCAGCAGCGTGGCATGATTAAGGCAGATGCCCCTGGGTGTCTTCCTATAAGTAGTGTGTATCTTGGCCTGGTTCTGGGTCCTGGATTCCCTTCTGCATTGTATCTCAAATCTTTCAGGCATGCAGCTCCTTGGAAACTGGAGAGCACAGTGCTGAAAGGGGAAAAAAGAGAGACTAGGTAAGAGTCATGGTAAGGAAAGGGCCATCTCCTCAGCAACTATAATTTGCTTCACAGGAGAGTTTACAAAGGGTCCTTTCCCAGAACAAAGCCTCCTGGGATGCGAATGCCCTCAGACCATGCTCTCCTTTTGTTACTTCGCATGTACCCTCTTCTAATAAAGGCAAGCAGTGAATAACTTAGTACATTAGAGCTCAATATTCTGGACCAAATCTTAGGGTCTGTCCCAAGACTAGTGTTGGTTGGAAGATCACGGTCTCCCTCCTCCATCTTAGTTTGATGCTGGACCCACTTTTCTAAAACACTGGTACCTCTGGCCCCACCTCTTTTTTTCCCCTAGGACAACTCCAGGGTATCTGGGCCCTGCTGAACAGATTATCTCTGGTGTGCTTCACTCTGGCATTTCTGCTGCATGTGGAGAATGAAATGCTCGTGGCCTGAATTTCTGCAGGACCAGCGAGGGAGCCCATCTCTGCCAGAGAAGCCTGTTTCTTTGTTGCCTTTAGCAGGTCCTGGCATGGAGAGTTCGAGGCCTATTCCAGCTGAGCTTTCTGCAGCCTGAAAAGAAGGCAATGGCGCCTCTCTTTATCAGGCGCACACTCAGCTGCGTTCATTTTGTGACTACGCAATTTGGGGGCTTTGTTTTGTTATTTATTTATCCATTGCATTAAGGAGAGGCTCAGAAGCCGGAATACACTGAGCTCTGCATATTGCATCGCAAGCCCGATAATCAGGCACATTAAAATTCCAAGGCAGCTTCTGACAAAGTCTCTCTGTGCTGTGAAAGGTGGCTTGAAAATGCTGGGGAGCTGTGACAGGCAGGCGCGCGGGCAGACAAAGAACTCACTGTGTCAGTCTCTGTCTGCTCCAGGAAGAAAAACACACGCGCGCTTCCCCCCACTGATGCAGTTCCCCACTCACCTTCATGCACACGCCCCCTTCTGAATGCACGCACCCACACAACACCGGGTAAGGCATCTGCTAATGCAGCATGGAAATGCAAGGCCCAGAAAGGAGCCGAGATCAGGCACACACAGCAAAAGCACTGCCGCACAAGTGCATGTGCTCGCACAGAACCCCTTGAAGCCCAGCCAGCAGTATCTCTTCATGGGAAGAGTCATGGCAGCACCTAGGAGTGACTGCTGGAAAACAAAGTCCTCTCCGACTGCATGACTGAGAGCAGTGTCTCTTCTGATGAGAACCTGGCTCCATCACCAGGATGCCAAAGAGCTGCACTAGTATGAA